CTTTGGACCAACGTAGCTAGGGTATGTTTTTATATTAGACTGGGTTGGCAGACTGCACTGTAGGGATGCATAATATTACTTATGAGTCAAAAAGGAGCACTGCTGCAACGACTCCTCAGCACCACACTCGCACCTGTAGTCCAAGTGGCGTTGCTGCAGTGGGGAAGAGGAGCAACAGGCAGGTTTTAGTTTCAATCTTCTCATGGATCATATGAAAATCACTTTGACAAACATATTCACACAAACTCACAACTTTTGTTGGAGTGTGAGAATGGAGTGAGCAAATGAGTAAATGTGACACTTACTTTCAGGTACTCCTGAAGGAACTCGCTCACAGAGCCTCCAGGCACCAGGTCCAGGGAGAGGTTCATATAATCCACCTCCTTCATGGATTGCATACCACATCTGCATAATAAAGGGACAATTCAACGTAAACAACATTTGCAACATGGGGAATCGCTAAAGCAGGTTTGCCAAAGTTGGCCCACCATAGGGTTCAATTTGGGCCCACTAGATGTTTCTAGCAAAACAAATGTAATTAGTCATTTAAAAATATATAATAAAAATAACTGTTTATGCCGTTTTATTTTTTGTAAGCTCCTTATACTTCTCTTACTTATATCTTGTAGAATTATTATTTTCATGAGCATGGTGGGTAGAGTTACACTATGCAGTTAATCAAGGGCACTTGGTATCCAATACAATTGGTGTTATGCTTTTGGCTCGTGGCCCAGTTTCAGTTTTGGCCCTCTAAGGGAAATATTCTGGGTATATCTGCTCTACACTATAAGCATTAAACAGTGTGTGGCTGTGTATACATACCCCTTGGAGGTCCTTGTGCTCAGCATCTGAAAAGTAATGTGAGCGTTGACAGGGCAGGTATAACTCATGCCCATGTCAACTGCTGCCGCATCCAGATCCAGAGACAGAGACCTCAGCCTGTCCAGAACACAGCTGAGGAACTCATGGGCATCCTGCACAGAAACATAAAACAAAGAGTTATAGAAGGTGGGCATTTGACTAAAAGTAGTTCAGTGAAGATCAGCTGTGTGTGTAAATGAAAAGCGTACTAACCTTCTGACTGCCGTCTTAGTTAAATTCAGCAACAGTCTGTTTAAAGGCAGACAGGACATCTTTCTTCTCCCTTTCATTACTGGAGAAGCGGCAGACTCCGACATCCACAAACCCTCTGTCTGTCTTTCAGTGGCTAGATTTTTATCCTAGTTTTAAGAATTCAAGTCAAGCAAATGTATTTTATTTGTGATTATATCAAAGTTAATGTGCATGGTGGGTTGTGTGATCTTTGGCATACTTCTTGGCATGTTCTTGGATAACCTCTGAAGTTTAACTCACAAGTGAGGAAGTGAAATACAGAATCATGGGAGTAAACCAATGCGCTGTGATTGAATAATGTTGAAGATGATTGGTTCAACCGAAGTAGGTGTGAAGAAAGAGATGCATAAAAGACACACAATTATTGCTTCGTCTTTAAGGGTTTGGAAGCTTTTGTTCTTTTTCATTGGATCCTCAGACACTGGGAAGAAAGAAGTTGTTCTGTCGGGGTCGCCAGGTATCACATTTCATTTCTTTCTGTATTTTGTTCTCTATCCTGCTCTCACTGCTTCAGCATATTACAACAGATGTTATGAAGCATGTAAGATATGTACTTCTGCTGCACGAGGAAGTACATAAAGGTCAGAATATTAAGTCTCCTAATCCAGATTTTGAAATTAAACCACTACTAAATACTTCAAGTTAAAATAAATAGCACAGATTTTTTCATTTCTAATTTATGTGGATTTTTCCGTAATTACTTTCTCCATTTTTCAACTATTTTTTTACTGAACTAGTCTTTTTCTTAATCTGTTTTTTTGTCCTGAGCTCCGAGGTCTTATGTGAACATAGTTGTTCTAATTCACGAGACATTTGTGTTTCGGTCTGATCTCTCCTTACTGGTTTAATGTGGGTGGGGTTCAGTTGCACATACTTTAGTGCACCGATCAGCATTTAATAACATTTGAATGTCAACAAAAACTCCCATACAGTCCTTATGAAGCAGATTAACTGAGTTTTTAGTTTTAAATTCTTAATAAATAATACTTACATTGCTTATTTAATCATGAATACTTAAAGATAGAAAGAAATTGTTTAATTTCATTGTTTTTGCCATATTGAAGTGACAATGGCACTTCTACACAGAGCTGTTAGTGATCTTCAGGCGAATTACTGATATTTTTTCCAACATGGTCCCAGTTTCTGTTCATTTTTACCTAATTTCTACCATTTCGAATTCCCTCTGAATCTCAATTGTTACATTCAGCATTAATGTTATAATTTGTTCTCCACAATTCTAACATGATACATTTCTAACATTAATAATGAAGAAGTGTACATTTTTTAAAGGCTCTCATCTGTCTCAACCAGAATGATGAAACTCAGTGTTTTCCTTGTGCTGCTCCTCCTGGATTCAAGCTCGGCTTACACGTATAGTAAGTATGATCTTCGCTGTAAAACATTTCTCAATAACATTTTGCTGTCTTACTTGATGATGATGATGATTTTTTTTGTAATAGAAGGAAGTGGATGTAGGTCTATTTCACAGCTCAGTGTGTAACATTTAGGAGGATCTATTGGCAGAAATTGAATAAAATATGCATGTTTTGCAACTATGTTTTCATCTAAGTATAATCACTTGAATAAAATAATTGTTGTGTTTTTGTTACCTTAGCATGAGCCTTCAGTTAGTTGCAATTTGCAACTTCACTGCTTGATCTGATTCTACACACTGGTCCTTTAAGGGTGTGCTAAGAATTCACACACAGTCTACTATTATAACTTTTATATTGATTTCAACTGTGTCCTTCATAGAAAAT